ACGCACATTCAACGAAAGCAAAGAATTTCGTGTTTTGTGTGACAGCCGCTTTTATGTTAAACGCTTCATTTTTTTGTGAACGGAAAGTACGTCAAAATTCTTTCATTATTGTTTTCAGTATGATATTGCACGCTGTGGATTTCTTTTATTCTGCTTACGTTTGGTGAATATATATCATGCAGAAAATTTCATGTGTCCAGTCGTAATCCGTTAATTAAACATGTAAGCTACTGACTTTTGTTATTGTGCAGTAGTAATTGTATATGTAAAAATCTTTTAAAGAATTTAAAATTTTAATTTAAAAGTAGGTTTTTAATGACTTATTTTCGAATTCGTAAAAAATTTATGGCACCATGAAAGATACCTCGAAGCGATTCATTGATATATGTGCATACTTACGTCTTAACAGAAGTCTATCCAAATAAGTCTACAAACTCTCTGTGGCTTTGGCTCACCAGTGGTCGAATGGTTAAGACCGCTGAATACCGGTAGTTCAGCCCGGGTTCAAACTCCGATAAACACTCTGGCTGCGGAGATGCTTTCCTGGTTTTCCCGTGTGTAATATGGATACAAACCAGTTTCCAAATTTTAACATCCAACAAATTTTTAGTATTTTTTTTAATATTTTTTTTTTAATTTATTTATTACTCCAGAAAGGCTATTAATTTCGTTTTGACATTTTGCATTGGTTCACTATAAATGTCGGTTCGATTTTCAAATTGTTGCCACCAAATATTAGAGCCAAAGAAATTAAATAATGAAGAATCTGCATAAATGTTACACTTCGTTTCTCGCGTAGTTTTATCACAATGCATTCTCGCGTTGTTTTATCACAATGCGAGAAACATTTAGTATATGTTTCTCGCATTGTGATAAAACAACGGTACCTAGAATCATCAAATTCTGAATAACGTAATCTTCCATTGAATATAATCACTGAATATAAGCCCGAATTTGGAATTTGAAATTCGTTTTATTATTGATTTCATATTTTGTAACACTTTAACGAATTTTTGATTAACAAACTCAACGATTTCAAAGCGAGCAATGGCAACACTGAACGGGGGGGGGGAGAAAACAAACCCACACATTTTTATCTCTAGCAGGCGAGACTATGCACCGGAAATTCTAAAGATAGGCTCATTTTAAAATTATTTTGCGATATTGCTGTTGAATTGAAATTTATGGTTTGAGTGTGAAGAATATAATATTTAATAAATAAAGGTAACACACAATGCGTTAAACCCTTTGAAAGTAAGTAAAATCTGAAAGCTTTGAGTTTTTTTTTTTTTTTTTTTTGTTTGTTTTGTATATGGAATGATAAAGAAAGGCCTGTATTTGGTGGGAAGGGTCTGAACCATCTTCTTAGAAAATAATTTTTCACATAGAATTAGATCGAAGGGTGAAACTGGGGAATGAACGGGAAAACGTTTAACGGCGACATAGAAAACAGTAACCGTAATTAGCTTAATATAAATTAAAATAACTTAATATGAATTTTTATATCTAAGTAGAATTATTACTGACGCTTCTTGGTACGTATATGTCTATAACGCCAATTAATTTTCTTTTAACGATTTACAGTCAATTTTTATGATTTTTATTTTTTGAAATATTTTTCTCATTAGATTGGAAAAAACAAACACTAATCACTCGCATGTAGCCAGATTTTATTATTTGTAACAGCCGCAGTCAAGAAGTTACAATCAAGTATACAAAAAGTAAATAAGTCAAAATTTCATTTCTTGTAAAATAGCTGGTGTGCAGTACTTCACTGACAAGCAAAAATATTGCTGTGTCTTCTAAATTAATTGATTTAATATTCTTAAGATTGATTTATTAGAGTTAATATTTATTTTGAATTTGCTTGCTTAGAAAAATAATTTGTGCTTTCCACCATGAAAATTGTTGATCAAGTTTATCACAGATGTTATCGTAAAGATACAATAAATAACTGATTCGCTATGAAAAAATCTATTGTTCCTTTTTCGCGACATTTCCCAATATGAAATTCTCAAGGAGAGCGATAAACGAATAATCAAATTAAGATTCTCCCACTTGCTTAATTTGTTCCTAAATTCACGTGTTCCGAAATGCTTCCATGGAGACGAAGGGTAAGACATGATACTGGAATGCGATAAAAAGTGTCTAATTTTAATCGGATTCTGAGTCACGCATTCCACTGTGGGTTAGTTTCGAGGTCCAAGGTTAAGAACTCAAACCGCGATGACTTTTACAGCGAATTTTCCGCGTCACGGGGATACAAAAGATTACAGTTATGGCTGCAATCAGATCCCGATTAAATAAAATGAACTTTCATGGCACCTATAGCGCATTAAAACATCTGTGTTTCGCAAGATATCCATTAAGACAAAGTGACTTTTCCACTGCGGGTTTTCAAATCGAATAAAGTTGATCAGTTAAATGGTTGACGAGGAGAGAAATCAAATTTTGTTAAATATTTAACATACGCTTTTCTTGTTAGCCATGACCTTATGTATATTAAAATAAATAAATAAATAAAAATCTGAAAGCTTTCAGATTTTACACTCTAAATTCGAAAGAGTCCTATCTGACTCTAAAGGAGTGATATCCCACCTCCCTCTAATGCCAAAATGGCACCAACCTCGAAGGAGCGATATTTCACTCTAGTAAAAAGCGGTCCCTTTTCACACAAAAACAGGAGTGACTCCTTTCTTCGTTCGCTCTTCTTCGATAGTCAGATATCGCCCGATATTCGGGTGAAACCAAACACACACATTACAAGGAGTTATAATAATAGTCTGCTCACTCCTTGATGGTGCGATTTTTATATAATTATTTTATAGGCAAACTGAAAATTGGTATTTGCTATGTAAACTTTATAGCTGATGTATTGTTTTAGATATCTGGTTAATATTATCTCTTGAAAAAAATATTTTACACTACTTTTTAACATGCTATTGTGATTTTAATTATCTGATATATACATCTGTTTTAGATTTGCTACCTATGTACTTACTTAAACATTTATTGGTGATGAGATTTCTTTCCAGATCTAACGAAATATACATATAAAAAAATTACATCCCATATTAAAATATTGGAAATTCGGTGTAGTTAACATTCTGAAATACTTAACACTATCACTTTCTCACAGAATATATTTTATTTTACAGAAACATGGCTTTTGCCTTTATGTGTAGTAAGCAATAAAAATAAGAACGTCAATGCAACTTATATATAAAAACTGGATTATGAATCAAAGTAGACCATCACACTGAAATAAAAAAAACACAGTTTAAAGACAATCATATCTTCATTGTTTAGACATATAGTTTTTCTTTCCAAATCTAACGAAATATACATATAAAAAAATTACATCCATATTAAAATATTGAAAATTCGGTGTAGTTAAACATTCTGAAATACTTAACACTATCACTTCCTCACAGTACTTCTGATGTGAAATTACTTTGAACTCACAGAATATATTTTATTTTACAGAAACATGGCTTTTACCTTTATGTGTAGTAAGCAATAAAAATAAGAACGTCAATGCAACTTATATATAAAAACTGGAATAGCAAGATATTCGCAATGAAAAACTTAGTTTTTGAATAAAAAATAAGGTTTTTCAGGTACTTAAAACTTTGAATAAATATTTCAGATATTTTCAAAATTTGATTTGAGAAATCAAAAAATGCTTAGTTTCATAAAAGAAATTTAAAAAAATCATTTTAGATGAATCATATATATATATATAGTGATATACATTCTAAATTTTGTATACATATTTTAATTTAAAAAAGCAAATTATGCTTATTCACAAGATTTGGGCACGTAATCATGTAAATTGTAAGCTAAATTTTCCATTAAATAATCATACTAGTTGGAAAAGTAATTTATTAAAAATAGTTCTTGACAAATTTTATAATGAAAATTTGAATGTGTTAGAACAGCTGATCATATATATATCTGTCAGTAAACCTGTATCATAATCTGATAGATTTAACTTCTTAAAATGCTACTTATAAGTGAATACAATTTGTGAATTGATGTTACTAGTAGTTTGTCTACTTGAGTATAATATGCATAAAAAATCGAATAATAAATTTTAATATACATTGAAGTAAGAAACAAATGCCAATTTAATTTCCCTTACATGAAAATTATTCAGCTTTATTTTCAATGTATGAGATTCAGAAAATAAGTAACCATAAAACACTCTCATGCTATTGTTTTTAGCTTCATATATTGCACAAAATATTGCAAAAGAAATGTTTCTATTTCTTATTACATAATTATGAAGAGCTTAAAATTAATTATTACCCCAAATTATGAATAAAGTCTAAAATCTTCAGTTAGCTTGTTACGCTTTCTATTTTTGAGAAGTTATATGCATACAAATTCCTATACATTAATCATTACAGGTGAATAAATGCTTACATATACTTTTAGACTATAACTTATTTTTATATATGCTAATTCCAAGTCTCATTTGGGAAAAATAAAGTAAATTTAAAGTAAAGTGAAATAATATGGATTATAGCTCACATGTGTAAGCTAAAAATTCATTTTTCATAATTCTGCTGAAAATTATTATGTATTTCATTTATTGATTAAATCCGAATAGGAATCATTACCATAACTGCAGAATTATAATAATTTCAATGAACAAAGTATTTTAAATATAAGTGAAAACAAGCAATTGCATGAAAAACTCTTTATTAGGAAATATATGTACATATATATAAAAATGGAAAATATGAACTAAAAATATGACAATAAAATGACATTAAAAATATGAAATGTAATGCATGTACAAAATGCAATAAATTCATACTCGAAACATGTATTTAAAGAGTCCACACAAGCTCTAGGAGTGCTGACATTATACAAAAGGCTTGCCACAAAATTATAAAAATTTGTTGATGTATGTGCATATTGAACGCTAACTAAATACAAAATTAGTTTTAAATAGAATGTCAAATGCCTTCATGGCATGATTTGGGCATGCTATTAAGTGATTTACTGCTTTAATACAGAATGAACTTGTAATACACACTATAATGGGCTGTTTATTCTGAGCTGGTCCAAGAGATTCCATGTCTTCTATTCCCTGAAAATAAATTTCTTTATTAAGAATACATCCATTACCTATCTATTAGGACAAGTCAAATACCAATGAGCCATACTAGAAAGTTTATCTTTCCAATTAAAAAATATCGCCAGAAAATTTTTCTTCTTTCAAAAATAAGTGATTCCTAGTAATTTTATTCACATAGAGGTCTTTTGCTTTTAGTTTCTGTAAAAATGCAGTATAAATACATATAGGAATATGTAAATATTATATTGATGCAAATATAGAATAGGATAGTCTATTTGTGCGTTGCTTCTTAATGAAAAATGTAATAAATAATGTACATAAAAATGTAAAAAGAACAAACTATATGGAGAATTAGTCTGTCTTTTCCTTATGAAAACAAAGTATCATCCCTTCATAATAAACTATTGTTGTTCATATAAAACTTGTTATTGTAAAGATGTTTGTTCTTGATTTCATGATCGCTATAGTCTGGCTGGAAGTGTATCTTTTGAATTTCACCTTGAAGCAATTTTTCCATCACTTTACAAGTTAAAAAAAAAAAAAAAAAATCTATGTTCACTGTATATACATGCATATATATGATTAGTGTCATGCTTTAGATTTAGATCATATAAAGGCATCACACATATTACAAACCATCTTATTCTCTCGAAATATTTGCTAGTATGTAGGTGACATTCAAATCAATGCAATTCCAATTCTACAGAAATTAGCTAAATGACCATGCATCATCTGTGGGTACAATAGTCGAAAGCAGCCTGAGAAGATGAATTTTAGCCACATGAGGCCAAATACATTCACTGTTGTGTAAAATGGCTCATTTTAATATAATCTGCCCTCTTAAAATGAAAGTTAGTGCAAAGCATATCAAAATTCCTCAATACTTACATTTAGCAAATATTAGAAGTGCAGAATTTGGATTTTTTTTTTTTTTTTTTTTTTTTCAAATAACAGCCTGATGCTAAAATACTTGCTTTGCCTTTACCCTACAAAAATAAAAATAAAAGTATATATAAAAGACATATACTGGATAAAAATTGCATGTGAAATGTAATAATTAATTGAAACTATATAAATATCACACACATGAACCTTTCAAGATAGAATATGTAGCAAATTTCAAAGGATATGCAGCTCAGCTCACTTACATATAGTATCAATAGCTTATTTACATATACATACACTGCAAACTAAAAATATTATCCTATGAAAAGAATTTTATAGCTAAGCATATGAAATTATTTTTTATGCATAGACTTATGCCAAATATTTACTCATTAATAATGAATAAAACCTTTTTCCCTCTTTCTTTCCAATAATTTTAGCTGAGCAAAAGTTCTGTGAGCAAAACTAATGCTTTTAGGTCATCTATATATATATATATATATATATATATATACATGTTTATTACATAATGATTACAAAAATATCATTAAAAAAGCCTTTGGCACTAGAGGCACATGCATTTACAGCTTACCTTTACGAGCCAGAAGAAAAAACTATAAGCCATTTAAGAATAAAGACCAATGTGAGTAATAGATGCAAAATTACTTTACTCTAGGTAATTAAAAAGTAAACAAAGAAAAGTTTTAAAGTATTCTATCATTTATAATCCTAATTAAATTCTATCATTTATAATCCTAGTTAAATTTTTAAAGATTTTTACCACTGAAATCAGCAATACTTGGTACCAGAAGATCAGGGCGTTTTGTTTCCACATATTTCAAAATTCTTGGGACATAAAAAGATGAAAAATGAAAACTGTTTTTTAAATGTCTATCATTAGAAATTGTTTCAGTTTCGATATAATTTCTTACATGGCTATTAGACAAAACCATTTCAATTGTTTTTATGACTGAAACATACTGAAATGTTTCTTTTACAATTTTGGTTTCAAATTGACCTGTTTTTGTATTCAGAGCTTGATCCAATCTACTGCCAAGCATAATTTCGACAGGTTCGATAAAATTCTGACAGCTTTTCAAAGCCTTTATTTGTCCTTTAGTTGCTGACATGCCATCAAAAATCTGCCTAATGGGAAGGATGCCTCCGTGGAGGTCTTTGTAAGGCAAACTGGTTCGTATACACGTTACACATGGAGAAAACCACAAAAAAGTCCATGCAGCCAGCTCCTTCATGCGATTCAAACTCTGGACCGAACTACCAGTGCTCAGCGACTTTGCCGCTGGTGGGTAATATTTAGGGAATGTGCATTAATGTTCGGAGAAAAAGCATGATATTAAGCATTTGTAAGTAAACAGCCTGTTAAACATGGTATTTAGGGCATATAAATTAAAATGAGCGCAGGGGCGTAGCTAGAGGGGGGGCAAGGGGCATCTGTCCCCGGGCGCAGGATCCAAGGGGCGCCAAACTGATGTTACGGCATTTTAGAATTAAATGTTTTCCATCCTTGGCAAGCAGTAGGGGGCGCGAAATCTTCAGTTGTCCCTGGGCGCTGAAAACCCTAGCTACGACTCTGAATGAGCAGCAAGAAATATAATATTAAGCATACGTAAGTAAAATTTACATAAAGTAAATATTAGTTACTGAAATCAATTTGGCCTTCCCCCATTTTCTCAAAATTGTCCCAAAAACTGTTCCGTTAAGAAAATTTTCGGCAACATATTATCTTAGAAGGAAACATTCTTTAAACGCAATTTAATATTTCTTTGACTGTATCTCAACCATTATGCTTAATTTCATGCCGAGACAAGTACTCGAGTATGCAGTTTTGTAAATTTTCTTTGCAAACACTTTAAAATCACTTTTAGAAAACATAGCACGGAAATCAGACAAAATAATAATAAATTGAGAAAAAATGACACATGCAAATAAATTTTGAACAGCAGCGAAAGAAAGCGAGGAGGCCGCAAGAGAATTCTACCAGCTTTGTGCTTTTGCAGCGTTTACATTTACTGGATTCTTTGCGGTAGTGTTTTCGAAGGCAGGTGAAAGGATGGTAACTTTGAACTTCTGCAGTTCAGAATGCAGTTCCAAATACTGATATACATCTGTAAATTTTTTTCATGACTGTTGCGAGAAGAATTTTGCAAAGTACAAATGGATTAAAAAACACCTAAAGACTGAGAAATTGTACCATACTGTCTACAAATCAGCTGATAGAGTAGTAAATCAAACTTTTAGAATACTATTAATGATTTTGTGTATAAGGAAAACAAACAAAATAGTACTTTACGGTATTAGAATTAATGTTTTATTTCAAAAATAAACCCAGATATTTTGTTTTTATATATATCATTTTGACATTTTATAGACTTTTTATTGTGCACTGAGTGAGGCAGCAAGAACTCTGGCTACACCTCTAACAGTGTTCACATAACTTAGTTATTGAAAATGTAAACAAGCTGTGTTACCTGGGTCTTTAAATCCTATCTAAACCAGAAAAATGAATTCATATGAGTTTATTAAAATCAGGTTACTTACATTTCTTTCCTACTTTAAAGGACTGTGGATAAGAAAAGGTTTATAAGACTTGTTTGATACAACAATAGCTTTTGCTAATGTAAACAATTATATTATTTTGAACATTACTTCATCAGATCCTCTCACTCATTTTAATATCACTAGGAGAAGATATAATAACTAATTGAAATGAAAAGGCAATAATCTTGAAAAGTAATAAGTAAATGTCATTAGTTTAACTTTCTAACTATTGAGTTGATGTATATGAATTAATCTATGAATCATTTTAGAATTATCATGTTTAAATTAGTATATATTTCGACAATTTTGAAAGTATGCCTGACAAGTTTTCTTAGAAGGGGGAAATAAATAAATAAAAATAACCCGTCGAATTAGGTTTTCTCCCGCAATAGAAGGGAGGGGAAGAAGCTGTTTTTTAATTGTGCATTCTATTATCTGTTAATAAAATAAGTTAATTTTTTAAATATGATAGGCGCTGCCACAAATATAAGGCAATATTGCTTAATTTTCATATTATAAAATAAAAATGCATCAAACATTTAGGTTTTATGGCTTACATATAAAAAAAGTCGTTTTGTTTCAGTTGAAATAAAAAATGTTTAGACATGTAACGAATTTTACTATTTAATTAAGTCTGAAAAAAACATGCCTTACATTTTTTAAAAATAAATACTGTTTTTTTTTAATTTTCTTATTTGCATTAAAAGAAATAAACATTTGGTGTACATATTATATATTGGCATATACGTATATTTGTCAGTAAATACATATTTAGCATAAAATAAATACATGTATATAGCATATAAAGTCAACTGAATATCTGGAATTTTCAAAAATCCGGACTAGGTATAGTTTTTAATTTAAAACAGAGTAGAAAATAAAATTACCTTTTAGGACATTAACAGCATCTTCGGGAATTTCTTGCAGTTATAAAAATCTGATAATTTTGAACTATCATGTAATCCCTCCTGAAAAAAAAAAAAAAATTTTATTGTGCTACAGTTTAAAAAAAAGATAAGAGGCAGATAAGTTTGACAATTTGCTGTGGCACAAGTATTAGGAATATAGAACCTACGTAAATGGACAAGGTACTAAAATTTTATGCTTGGTCTTTGACTGAAAATGAATTCTCATTAAATAGTTATCTGCATGAATTACCTGGAATATTTAATAATACAATAGTTTTCAGTTTGTCATCAGAAAATCAAAACTTACTATTTTTTTTAAAATAGCTGGGTTTTTTTTTTAGTCCAAAAGGGCAATTCTCCCAGAAGGACTGTTAATTTCGTTTTGGCATTTTGCATCGATTCCCGATATGTTTCATTTCAAATTGCTGCCACCAAACATTATATTTAAAGAAATTAAATAATGAAGAATCTGCAGGAATGTATGTATGTTTCTCGCATTGTAATAAAAACAACGGTACCTAGAGCCAACAAAATTTGAATAAGGTAATCTTCCATAGAATATGGGCATGTGGAAGCCCTAATTTGAATTTGAAATTGGTTTTATTATTTGCTTTATTATTTAATATTTTGTAATACTTCAACGAATTTTTGATTAACAAAGTAAACGATTTCAAAGCGAGCAATGGCAATACTGTACGAGGGAAAAAAAAAAAAAAAAAAAAATATATATATATATATATATATATATCCAGCTCGCGAGACTCTGTATTGGGAATTCTAAAGATATGTTCATTTTAAAATTATTTTGCGATATTGCTGTTGAATGTTTTTATGGTTTAATTAATGTTTTTATTTAAGTGCGAAGAACATGATATTTAATAAATAAAGGTAACACACAAAATGTTAAAAAAACGCCCCTTTGGACGTAATTTAAAATCTGAAGCTTTCAGTCTTTTTTAAAGAATGCAAGATTTTTTTTTAAATCGTAAACGGAAAGCCGTCTTAGCAGCTTTATTGGCCTCCCGGACTTTTGAATGTTCAAGAGGCCTTAGCTACACCTACACTCTCGAGAATAACAACATATTTGCAAAAATATAAGTTTTAGAGTGCTGATATGACCCAGGTAGTGCTAGTATTTATATTTTGGAAAAATTCAGCTTTGCAACAGTAAGTGAATTTTATTGTCACAAACTATAAGCAGAATTTATAAAAAATGAAAGTTAAAAATCTATTAAAAACTACTAGAAGCTGAAAACGATATGACTTCAATAGGAAATTCAGTAAAGTATACGGTTTTTATTTCTTCCAATACTACCAAATAATTTACACACTTGTGTTATAAAAAAAAATCAAAACTTTAGTATGCATTTTTTTTTTCCACCGCTGTTCTTCCTATTTGAAATAGGAATGCATGCAAAACTAAATTTAAATAATTAAATTCGATAGCTTTGTGTAAATTGTTCAAAAATAAAAAATAATGTTAAGAATTATTTACAAAAAGTACCATCCATACGTACAGCTTTCATTGTGTTAGCAATACGTAATAAATAAAACTACGTTACAGCATTACACTCTTAAAGCAAATTTACAGACACCTAAAAAAAAAGAGCAAACTAAAACTACTTTTTATTACATACTTAAATTTTGACACATAAATCTAACTATAATTTATAATAATTAAGATATTTATATTAAGAAATAATTGTATATATATTTTAAAAGCGAACTTACTTTTGGCAAAGGAGCTGTATCCATTATTACGACTGTCCTCGCTTGAAATGACGCTTAGCCAAAGAACGTTCTTTGGCTTAGCAAACTTGTTTGGTCAGTCTGGGCGGACAATGGCAAGACAGGGGGTCGTCCTGCTCCTTCAATTTACTCCCTTCCCCAAGGTTATTATTGCAAGTGGGAAACATGTTCTGCTACCAAGACAGTAAATTTGCGTTGTTTGACACGAAATGGAGCGAAAACTGCTGTCACCCTCCAAATCCCACTCTGCGAGATTTAGAATGTATATTACGCCCAAAGGAGCATTTTGGTACTTTTCCGTTTCGCCGGCGCAAATCTCGCCAAGCAGACTTTATTGGCGACAACATACAGTATACACATAAAAGATGTTAACAAATGTTAGTTCCAAGAATTTTTTATTTTGAAAGCATAAATATTTTAATATCGTTTAAAAGTTTGTAAAAAGCCAATAAATAAAGACAATAAATTTGTAAAAAGACATTAATTTGAAATTTCCTATACTTTCATGGTTCAACATCCTGATTCGCTGGTTCGTATAACGTGGCCCCAAGTGATCTCATCTCACGTAAACTACGCTACAAAAATCTAATTCTCTCAGTAATTATCTACATTAATTTCAAGTTTAATCTTAATTTGGATTTACCAAGTTTAACCCTTTGCGGCACAGTGTGTCCAGTCTGAACACACATAAAAATTTCCTTCTGTACGCACAGAAAAATTGAATGGAAAAGGATTTATAGGTTGCTCTGAACCTTTTTTATTTATAGTAGATGGCAGCTAAACACAAACCAGTCCATATAATTTAGCTATGTTTAGTTTTTTAAGACCCTCATTTTCCAAAGAAATCTTCCAGATTTTTTTAGGGTAAGGAATTGCTTGAAAAGAAATTTCTATGTTATTTTTTTTGGCTGTATGCTAATCTCCTTATTCTATATTAGTTTTAAATTTTCACCTTGAAATCTTGCCTGAAATCAAACGGCGAACCCTAGGCGTGCCGAGAGCGGGCTCACCGATAATCTAGGACAACTGAGAGTCTGTATTCTTTGTTTTCCGCATCTCATCGGTCAGTTCATTGACAATGCTCGTTTCAGCACTCTTTTCGAAGCTCAATTCAATCAGTGTGCCCACTCTGGGCACACCCACGGAATTAAAGGATAAGTGCTATCTTCACAAAATTTTACTTCTGTACTCCTCTAGGCGTAATTAGACTGCCTACTTTTTTTTTTAATATGCTGCTATTAAAATGTCCTCCCACCAACAAAAATTTTTTATTAGAAAACATCTGGGACGGCATCGTAAATGGGACTTATAAGATCAAATATGTGACCTCTTAATGGAGATGTCTGATTCCTTCTTATTAAAAGGAATGAAATTTAAAAGAAAAAATAGATAAACGTATTTGAGTATCATCTTTTTAAACTTTCATTCGTATCTCTGTGCTAAAAGAAATTATATATACATACATATCTTCGTATTTATTTTATTTTTGTGTTAACATTTATTGCAATAAATTATAACGTAGGGATGACACAAATGCTGTAATCTTGAGATTAAAATTTGTATTTGTTGTAGCTTCATTTTGATATAAATGGTATAATGTGCATTATGTTAAAAATGATAAATAATAATGATAATAATAATAAAATTTGAAAGCTTTCAACCCATGTTCGGATGGAGGATTACATTCTTCAAAATTTAAAGGCTCTAAGTACCGTCGTTTTTTTCACATATATACATAAGTATACATAAGTTCATGTATGTATACATAAGTTCATGTAGATTCTTCATTATTTAGTTTCTTTAAATGTAATACAGGGCGATATTATTTAGTGGCAACAATTTAACGAGTGATTCGCTGTTTATAGCCACAAAATGCTGTTTTGAGACTAATAACCGCTTGGGGGGGGAAAGAAGAGGATAGAAGTTAATATTTTACCATATTATATTTTTTGTAAACTGTCTTTTTACAGGACTTATGTTTTGTTAATAGTTTCTCAATTCGATATCGCATTGATATGCCGTCAGGTGTTCTGTTTGCAAATTTGATCGTAATTAAAATATTTCTGTGGGAAAACTTACAGGAAATTTCTATGTAATATTCAATGTAAAGCTTATCTAAAATCTAAGAAAACTAATAAATATACGAAATACACGAATAACGAAATATTACCTGAGAAACAGATTTCTGCATTTCCACATCTGATAATGTCGCGGGTAATTGGAGTTATGTTTGCGTTCACATTTCACTATTTTTTCCGTATTTATCCTTGAGCACCATACGGGTGACAATGCGATTTAGCTCAATTCCACCCCCAGTTTTGATGGAGAGCACCCCGGGGGGGGGGGGAACACGAGTCCGAGGGCCTCCCATCCCTCTTCCCCTACCATCAACCTCTCGAGAGGACTTTCGGCTCCTCGCGTATTAAGGAGCGCCCCCATGCCGCACAGACACTATACATTTACAAACATCCAAGCTTTCTCCGGGATTCGAACCCGGGGAGTTTGTGATCGGATAAAGCATGTACTCCAGACCTCACGGCGGACATACCACACCGAATATGGGAAGAATTTGATGTGTGTCGTGTGAACAAGAGTGCACATATTGAAGGATTAATGATTAATGCATCAAAAACTTGGACATTTGCCGCGCTTATACTGTAACTTTTGTCCATATAAAGTAATAAATTGATTTATTAATTTTTAAAACCACACCATTCACTTATAAACACCCTGTATTAAAAAATAACCGCAAAACGCAGTTTGTGATTATATTTTTCTAAAAGTATTTTTATTTTTGCATAAACAAGAAGCATATACTCCCGTACGAGCGCACAAAAACAAAATGAATGCCTTATATATCGAATATCGAATAAGCTACTTTTATTAACTGTATGGATTTTTACTTCATTTGCCTGTCAAATCATTTGAAAAATAATTTGCTTTCTCACTGATTTACATATTTTGAAGCATGTGATTTTTCTTTCTCGTAATTTGGCCCACCAGCGGCCGAGCGGTAAAGACGCTGAACACTGGTAGTTCGGTCTGAGGTTCGAATCCCGCGAACGGGCTGGCTGCATGGGCGTTTTCGTGGTTTTCCCCATGTGTAACGTGTATACGAGCCAGTTTCCCTTAGAAAGTCCTCCACGAAAGGCATCCCTCCCTTTAGGCAGATAGCCCTCGTGTGCTTTGCCATAACTGAATAATCCAATCCAATCCAATCCTTTCTCGTAATTTATCTGCATGCATCTCAAATGCAACCCACGACTTCCTCGCTGAAAACACCACAGATATTTTATCTCTCAAGTATCAGTCTAAACTTCAGATTTAGTTGTTTTTCACA